GGCCCGGCCCGGCCCGGCCCCTGCCAGACCACGCGGGGAGACGCTTCCCCGAGCGATGCCTCCCGGTCTTCGTCCCCGGCAGGGCAGCTGAGGGCCCTGGACACGTACATACTCACCTAACGAATGTGTGTTTTCTTCTCCTGGCAGGTGGTCTTTCACAAAATGTCTCCCAACGAAACTCTCTTTCTGGAAAGCACCAACAAAATCTATAAGGACGATATTTCTAACAGCTCCTTTGTGAACTTTCAAATATGGGATTTTCCTGGACAAATGGATTTCTTTGATCCAACGTTTGATTACGAGATGATTTTCAGAGGAACTGGAGCTCTCATTTATGTTATTGACGCACAGGTTGGAAAGGAGATGTGGCTGTTTTGTTAATGGTGGCAGAGGGACAGGGGCTTTTTAGGGTGATAAGGCTCTAAAAGTGCAAAGGTGCTGTAAACATTAATAATAGAGTGAGGTTAATAACAACACTAATCTCAATAAACTCTCATAACTACAGTTAGTGGTAATGATACAGTTAACTGAGGTTAATGTTGCTGTTAATATTTCCCCAGCTTTTGTCTCAACATTAACTTTTCATCATATTAGTGCTAATAGTTTTTAGCATGGGGCTTGATCTCAAATGGGTAAAGAAATGGTTCTGAGTCATAGGTGCTCTTGGGATTTCTCATAAGGTCAGTTTCTGCAAAAACAATTAGAAAGATTAAACAATCTTTCATGTTTTTATGGTGTCTAGTAAAGTAAGCTGATCATGCAAGAATAGGTATTACATTTGTTTTACAGGATGACTACATGGAAGCATTAACCAGGCTCCATATTACAGTTTCAAAAGCTTACAAAATCAATCCAGAAATGAACTTTGAAGTTTTTATTCATAAAGTTGATGGCTTATCGGATGACCATAAAATAGAAACTCAGAGGGATATTCATCAAAGAGCTAATGATGATCTTGGTGATGCTGGGTTAGAAAAACTACATCTTAGGCAAGTGAAATTTCTTTAGCTCTTATATGCTTTCAAACAGCTGATATTAGATTACTAGTTGAGGTCAGAGAGAGGAGTAGCTGAGTTTTCTGAAATGTGTGAATAGCAGAGAAGACATCATTCAGTAAAGAAATGCTGTTTGATTGTATACCATGTGTTCAGGGAGAAAAATAGCTTTAGAAATGTGTTAGAGGCATACTATGCAGAAAAGAGAGATATCTCTTCTAGGTGATGCTACTTGTAGGCTTTATATGTATTTACATCTGAAAATGGTTAGTAATTTTAAACTGGCAATAGACAGCTTGTAGATTAGATGCAAAAGGGAACTTTTTTTTCCTAAGAAATGTACATTTTCTAGTATGTAAGGACAGAATCACTGCACATTTTATTTTAAAATTGTGAAAACTATCTTCCCCCTCCATCAGCAGTGATATTTGATTTTTTTTAAACTGTTGAACTCTCTAGTCAGAAAAGGTGAAATGGGGAAACTCTTTAAAATGCTTAAGATATTGATAGATGATCCCATGCCCCATTAAATTCCCAGCTTCTCCATTTGTGTTGTTGGAGTTTCAGTTTCAAAGATGAGACCATGGATGTGGTCTGCACTAAAGCACAGAGCTGCCCACTATATTTTAAACTACAATTTAGCAGTATAAAATTTTCAGGAGTTTGGAAGCAAGAGAGAAAACAAAATGCTTAATTGTTAACACCATTTATGGATATAAAGCCATGTAACTTCATAAAATATATTATGGAAAATTTAGTTTATAAAAGTTTATTTTTTGTTACAAATGGAACTATAATTTGCTGAAATGTAGGAAGCATTCTTATTCTTGCTTGGATATAGAGAAGAAGCAGTAAGCACTGTAGTAAAACTAAGAAAAGCAGGTATTTTGGATTTTACCTTCCACTGAATGAAACAGATAAAGCACTAATTTTCAGGGGGGCGGGGAGAAACAACCAAGGGTCAGAATATACTTTTTACAAATCTGAAATGCTGTCACTGTTTTACTTTTTCTGATTCTTTGTTTTTCTGACTTTATCATTTTCTTGAACTTCTGAAAACTGAAATTTGGCTCATCCTGAAACCAAGTTCTTTCCCCTCTCATGTGTTAGTCCATTTCTTGATTTGGTATAAATATATTTCCAAACAGATCATTTGTTTACATATTAACCAGTTGATTAATTAAAATGAAAATGTTAGCAAATATTTCATAATTTTTCCCAGTTCCTATAGGAGGGGAAAGCTAGCCAGTGATTTGGATTATGGTTTAATGTGCCATGCAGATCCAGGTTATTTCAATAAATCATAGTTAAGTTAACCATGAATCACATGAACAAAAGAATTTCAAGAGATTTCAGTTGAGAATTTGAAATCCTAGAAAATAGGCTGTCTTGCAAAGTTTCAGCCATTTCTTAAAAATATGCTTATTTGGATACCTGCACCATTATGTAAGAATGCCTCATACCAGTAAAGTTTGCCAACCTGTGTGTTAAGTAAAGAGAGAAAAGAAACACAGCTGATTTAATGAAATCAGATGCAATCGATTATTCAGAAGATGTGGTCTTTGTCATCCAGAAAGATGAAGGGATCAGAATTTGCCTTAAATAGATTAGTTTTAGATCTCATCAGTTTGCTAACAGCTAACAATGGTGGTATCAGTTTTTGCCAAAACAGCAGGTAACATTTGGAACTACTCAGGTAATTAATTAGAGTTCTTCTTTTAGCTTTTATTTGACCAGCATCTATGATCACTCAATATTTGAAGCCTTCAGTAAGGTGGTGCAAAAGCTCATTCCACAGTTGCCCACTTTGGAAAACCTGCTGAATATCTTTATATCAGTAAGTAGCAGTTAATTACTCTGCATTTTTGAAAGACAAGTAATGTGAAAGTTAGTAAATGAGCTATTTTCACTTAGGAGATGGTGAAATTGACACCAAGAAATCTTGGGAAGAACTTTTGCCTACAAAGCAGAGATGGGTTGGTGACTATTTAATCATGCTGATCTTAAACAGATTTTGAGTGATTACAGGTTTATATTAGACTTTTTAAGCAAATTAAAATCTTTGTACATCAAAGTTTTGGACTACTCACTAGTGAAACTATTAAAATATACAGTGTGTTCAGTAGTTCCTTTATATTAAGTGGAGATTTTTACCTCCTAATTATATATAATAAAGTATTGCAAAATAAATAAAAGCAAATGTTACCCCAGAACAGGAATCTTGGAACAGATGTGGGTATCTGTGAGATGTATCCCTAATTTAAGTCTGTCTTTTCATTTTCTGAAGAACTCAGGGATTGAGAAAGCTTTTCTTTTTGATGTTGTCAGCAAGATCTATATTGCAACAGATAGTTCCCCTGTTGACATGCAGTCATACGAGTTGTGTTGCGACATGATTGACGTTGTCATTGATGTTTCTTGCATATATGGGTAAGTACTATAGAAGTATGGAACAACAATCTCGAAAGAAGTTAACGTAGTGACTTCTGAGTACTTAAGAAGATCCTTTATGGTTTGGGAATATTTCTGGGAAATGCAAGATATGCTTGAGATTATGAAACTTTTAGGTTGATAAAAGGTGGGGATGCTGATGTCACCTTTGCTTATTGTTGGCACAGTTCTGTCCAGAAACTAGTGAAGTCCAGGTTCCTGAGCAAGCTTCCTTATGAAACCTGGTGTGTCTGTCCTTGAATGAAATTTACTGCCCTCATGCATTTGGAGAAAAGACTAGAAAATAAGAACCACCAAGGTTGTTTCATAGAGGAGAAGTTAGTGAATAGCAGCTGTAATAATATGAAGTGAGCTGAGTACAAATTTCTTCCTGTATTAGCAGCATTTTTTGCTCAACTTTGGTGGCCCATGCTCACCTCTGTTCGTAATGTTTCTAAAGATTCTTACGTAGAAGATGAAATATCCACATTCTTTTGGTTAGGAATGCTTTCTGCCAGTGAGGGAACTTGCTGATGATGTCAATTCCAGGTCAGTTTTTAATAAATGAGTTGAGAGGAAACTTCATTTTAACCATTTTGCCTCCTTTGTAGTATGTTCTTGTTTACTATTGCAGCTACTGTTGTTGGAAGATATTTCAGTTTGAAATAAGTGGGGGCATCTCCCTATATTATATTTTGGTGAAGTCTCACTTCATGATCACAATACCATTGTTGCTATCGAATTGAACAATTAATTTACAACAAATAAAATATCTTTGCAGGTCAATCAAGCTAAAAAGCAAATGTTGGACAACAGTTAACAGCAAGCTTGCCACAATACTGACGGCCTTATATTTTGATTATATTTTGATTATATTGTGGCAAGCTTGCTGTTAACTGTTGTCCAACATTTGCTTTTTAGCTTGATTGACCTGCAAAGATATTTATTTTATTTGTTGTAGATTAATCGTTCAATTCAAGTGCCTAAATATAAATTAGAGATCTAAATTGTGTCATGTTTGAATTAAGTGCTACATTTAAATCTCAGGTATGCTGAACAGTCTTTTCTCCTTCAACCTACTGTAGGTTAAAAGAAGATGGGAGTGGTAGCGCATATGACAAGGAATCTATGGCAATTATTAAACTCAATAACACAACTGTTCTATATTTAAAAGAAGTGACAAAGTTTCTGGCTTTGGTGTGTATCCTTAGAGAAGAAAGCTTTGAACGCAAAGGTGAGCAAAAGGGCTTGTGTACCTCATAATTTCGTTATTTTTTCCGAAATAGAAAATGTACTCTGCTTCAAATTCAGGGCAGAAGAGTCTCATCTGAAATATTTAGTCTGAGCTGGCTGTGTCCCAGTGAAATGGAAGTTGCAATACTTCAAGTGTTCCAAGTGTCATAGAGAACGTTAAAAACATTTCAAATGTTCAGGTCATTGGAAACTGTGGGAGCTCAGAATGTCCTTTTTTCTTCATTTTCCAGATCCAAAAAAATAGATAGACTGATAGTCTATGCTATTACTTATTACTCCATTTGCAGAAGTTGCTTTAAAATTACATTGAACCCTAACAGACCATGAAATCAATAGTTCTAGCATTGGAGAGAGGATAATTTGCCTAACCTGAACAGCTTAGCTAAGTGGCCACATAAGAAGCATTTGTGCTGTTGCACAAATGACAATCACAAGAAAGGAGAGCGTTATTCTAAAGTTACATTAAATGCCAGATAGTATAGGTGGTCCTCGACTTACAACAGCAATTGGGACCAGAATTTCCATTGCTAAGCAATGTGGTCATAAAGCATGACTGCATCGCTTAGCAATGGCAATCCCTGCAGTCCCATTTGCCATTGTTAACCGAATCCCACAGTCATTAGGCAAGGCAACTTCCTGCCGATTTCCCACAACCAAAGTCAGTGGGGAAGCCGGCAGGAAATTGTAAATGCCAGGCAGGCAAGTAAGTGGTTTCTGGCAGGTGGGGGAGGAAGTGAGGGGCATGGGGAAGGGTGGAAGGGGTGTGCAAGAGGCGTGAGCTAGGCAGCGTGTGAGGGTGCACAGGTTGGGGAGGGTGCGAAGGGGTGCGTGAGGCATGGGTCGGGGAGGGTGCATGAGGGGCGCAAGGGTGCAAGGGAGGGATGGCAAGGGTCGGGGAGGCTATGGGGGTGTGAGGGGGTGTGCAAGGTGCGGGGAGGGGAGGGTGAACAAGGGTGAAAGGGTGAGAAATGCAGTGAGGCTTGGGGAGGGTGCATGGGGGTGCACAAGGGAGGCGCAGCAAGGGTCAGGGAGGGCACGTGAGTGGTGCAAGATCAGAAGGGCTGGGGGAAGGTATGTGGGTGGGGGAGACTTACCCCAGCAACTTGTGAGGTTTCCTGCCGGCTTTTCTACTGATTTTCTGCAGAAGCTGCAGGGAAGGTTGCAAATGACGATCATATAACTGCAGGGTGCTGCGACCGGTCTAAGTGTGAACTGGTTGCTAAGCACCCAGATTGAGATCATGTGATCACAAGGGTGCTGAAACGGCCAGAATTCCGAGGATCTCTCATAACCACCATTTATTCAGTACCATGGTAACTTTGAACTGTCACTGAATGAATGGTCATAGGTCGAGGACTACCTGTAATACTTGGCAGACCACATAATATGCATTTTCTACCATGTATCCTAAAAGCCAAGTGAGGAGAAGATACTCTGGATATTCCCACTCTCAAGCTCACAAACCAACAGCATAGCTGCTGCATTTTCAGTTTTGAACTAGAAAATGACAATAGCATTACTTCTATAATGTGTTCACACTTTTATAGAATGGCTTCTTCCACAGCACAGAACACATGCGATGATACAACTCTAACTTTGCTAGTAAATAATATAAACAAACAAGCAAGCAAACTTACCAGGGAAGCAGACAGATAATGTAGAAGATATTCATTAGTATTTTTATTTGGGCTAAGCCATTTGAAATCCAATCTGAAATCTGATGCACTACTCTGTCTGATCTAGGCTGGTCAGGGATTTGGGCCCAAAAGTAGCAGTGTCTGTCCAGGCATCATCATCTCATCTGCTGTCATCAAGGATAGAACTGGCCTCTGCTGCTGAATTGGCTAGGCTGGAGAAATGCTGGGGGAAAACACTGAGCACAGCATTGAAAATAGCATGTCACTCATAGAACAGCCAGGACACTCAAAACAGCACTCCTTGAAACAGCCTTGCTTTATTTCAGGGGGAAGAGAAATCCAATGTAGTTTGCCTCAAACTCAGAAAATTCTCATGAAACGAGCATTTTGTTTTGATCTTAGAATGCTGAAAGGTCAAAATGTTTTTCACATTTCTACAGAGTGTGCCTCAGCTTCCACAAGGCTGAAAAAGTCCAGTAGTCCAGTAATTAATTTGTTTTTTATTCATTTGATTTGCATACCTGCCCATCTCAACAAGTGACCCTGGGCAGCAAACAAAATTAAAATTGAATGCTTCCAAATGCTCTTCAAGGGCAGTCCCATGTAGAGCACATTGCAGTAGTCCAGATGGGAGGTCACAAGAGCATGAATGATTGAGCAGGGCCTTCTGGTCCAGAATGGGTGCAACTGGCGCACACCCCGAAGGTGTGCAAAGATTCCCTTAGCTGCAGCTGCCACCTGCTCTTTGAGCAGGAGTTGTGAATCTAGGAGGACCCACAGATTTTGCACAAGGTCTGTCTGAGGCAGTGCCATCTCATCCAAGAGCAACAGTGGAAGGTCCTTGGCACCACTCAGTCTTGCTTGGGTTGAGCCAAAGCCTTTGCACCCCATCCAGGCCCCCACAGCCTCCAGACATTGGGACGGGACATCTACATCATCACTCAGGCATCCTGGGCTGGAGATGTAAAGCTGGCTATCATCAATATTTATTTATTTATTTATTTATTTATTATTAAATTTGTATGCTGCCCATCTCCCCCCAATGGGTGACTCTGGTATACTGGTGGTACCTCACCCCAAATCATTGGATGACCTGACCCAGCAGCCTCATGTAGATGTTAAACAGGAGGACCTAAAAAGGGAAGGTTGGAAACTGGATGAAAACTGTCCAGACTGGTTGGGTTGATATAATCTGAATCTGTTCTCTCCATGCATCACTGTCTCTGTTAGAAGTCTAGTATAAATTCTCAAATATTTGCAGAAAGTTCTATATGTATTTTCCAAAATGCTTTTTAAAAAAGCTATTGGATGACCTTTGTTGAGGTTTGTCCATTGAGTAAATGTTACACAGTTTATAGAACCTTTCTGGTAAGCCAGGGAAAGGAGGAGTAGGGAAGCCTTTGGAAAAGTTTGTCTCCTATAGTTTCTTTAAAATGCAACTCTCTCAGAAGTTGTTATTTACCTTTTCCTTTTTTTTTTTCTATTAGAAACCTCTGAAGAGGTTCTTCATAAAATTTTTGCTGTCTTTTGTTGTCTTGTCTTTGTGAAAGCCACGGACAACTCCTTTACCCAACCAACTTTCGAAAGTGTTCTGGGAGAACTCACTCAATTCAGCATTCCAGAATTATTTTGATTGATTTCATCCCATATAAAACAATATTGAAAACAAAGTTACAGCTTTCCTTATTAGAGAAGCCTACTTTTAGTCCTAAATCCAATTGAATTTTATGTTGAGATCTTTCACTTTTTTACTATCAATTTGGAACAGAGTGCATGCTTGATTGTAGCCTTGCAGGTTGTATTGCTTATCCTCTAAGGTTGCTGAGATTCACATTTTGCTTTAAAACATGTAGCTTTTTGTAACAAGAAATGGAATGAGCTGCAAGGAAGAAGAAGACTGCTTTCTAGCAACAGGGTGAATGGTTAGTTGAAAATAGTATGGTTTTCTGTAGGGAAAATTATTTCCTGCAGAACAATGAAGAAGGCATGCAAAATGTTTAGAATTGGAAGGATTTTGTGCCTGAAACAACTGTTCTGCATCTGAAGTGGGTTGTTTCCATCTTACCAGAGTTGCTTCAGTGTTTTTGCCATTCCAGAAGATGCCTTCTGAGCTCAAAACAGGACATTTTGAATTCACAACATTTCAACTTCAAAAACTTCCATATCACACCACTCATTTTCTGAGATTTTCCCAAATGGAGTGTGCTTTGCTTCTCTTCATTTTCATCACAATCCATTTTTCCTTGCAGGCTTAATAGACTACAATTTTCACTGCTTCCGTAAGGCTATCCATGAGGTCTTTGAAGTGGGCATTTCCTCTCATCGGTCCTGCAGCCATCAAGCAAACATTCCCAATTTAAAAGCAGTGACTCATAATGGCACCCCTAGAAATGTTGTCTAAGAAGGACTGAATCAGGATGACCTAGTGCTTGCTTGCTTACCCTGTGTCTGTGTACCAGGGGATGAGCAGCACAGAGAATTTGCTGCATAACTTCATCCGTTTATTTTGAAGGAAGAGAGTCTGCCTTGTGGACTTGTCATCATAGCTGACATGGACACCCAGAATGGCTGCCAGGAACCACAGGGACCAAGAGCGGTTGCTTTAGTTACAATTTGGCAGGCAGGCAGGCAGGCAGGCAGGCAGCCTCTCCTCCACTTGGACAACTTCCTTGTTTGTTTCAGAATTAAACAGAACAGCAGGTGATTTGCTCCAGAGGTTCTGAAATTCAAACATACTTCATAACTTATTTGAGTACACACTCAGCACATTCCACCTGTCTTATCGCATAGTTTTGTGGTAATACCTGAAAAAGTAGTATATCCTGTGACATCTCCCTAGCAAACTCATTGAATGGAAGAGCTTATTTCCTTTTCTAGCTTTATCTTTCCTCAGAACTGTTGGAAACGTCTTATCTTGGATTCTCAAGCTATCCGCAATTCAGCTAATATCAGTTCCTGCACTCATTCTTAAACTGTTTTTTGTAATAAATAATTCAGTTTCACCCTGTCATGGTTAATATCTCTAGAATTTGGTATTTATTTCATTCTTGAAGCCACATGATTGCATAAAGGGTCATTTTATTTTAAAAAATGTGTACAGCTTTGGCAAGAATGGATTTTGGTTGCTAGAATTTGCTTAACAACATGTGAAGCTTCCTTAAGCATACTTTCCATCTGATGAAATGTTTTCTGTGAATCTTCCTGTAGATCATCTGTGCACTGGCAGGTAAATGCTACTGGCCATTTTCTTAATGATAACAGCACTTTGAAAGCCTCAAGCTCTGTTCTTTACTCAAAATGTCAGTGTGAGTTTGTTGAAGATTTAACAGATATTTTAGTGCTATTCACAGGTGATTGTATTCTGCCAGAGGTTCATGTCCAGAGGGGATAAGTTCCCTAGGTTTCATTAATAAAATATCTTTATCTCAACAAGTGTTTCTCCTCTGAATTAAATACAAGTAAACATGGGATTTAGTGTCCAGTGGGAAGTTCCACAGGTGGTGGTGGAATAATTTAGTGGCTGTGGTTGCAGGTTCTATTTAATACCTTGCAGAAATTGTGCCTTTTGCTTTATAGTGTTTCCTTTCAACCTGTTGTAAGCAAAACCAACCAGTTATGCCAAACAATAATGTGTATTTCTGCTGGGGCACTTTCAGACATTACCTTGTAACACCACCTTTGGTAGAAATCGCAGTTTCCAAACACTTCGTGTAGCCAGCCAAGAAACTATTCTTGCCTTTGGATATTTTTCCCACTTTCCCTCGCAGAACTCTTTTAGTTCAGAATTATTACTAGATCTTGCATGCAATGCATATTTGAGGTCTCCCCACAGATTTTTAGTAATATTCAAGTCTGGAGACTGAAGCACTTCAAAACTCCCCCCCCCCTTTCTTTCCTGTAAATACTTCGTGGTTGATTTGCAGGTATGTTTCACATCATTGTCTTGCTGAAGTATGCCTACTTTTGCACTTGTATTTTTTCTTATTTTGAATCTGTAAACAACTGCAGAGAGAAAGTGTGTAATCACATTTTCAGAAAGGTGTATAAGGAATGCTTAGGGCATCAGTGGTATGTAACTTGTATGCAGATGATGCCATGTTGACTCAAATGATTTGCAGCAAATTATGGATATTACTTTGACCAGATAGGGATTTTTAATTTACTTTGCAATTCCTGTTCCTTTTGCTTCTGTTGGTAAGTTCATTTATTATGGTCATTTGATCAGCAGTAACATATTTGTGTATATGTATGACAGATCTTCAGCGAATATATACATCCCAAAAGATGCATCATATGTTAAAAGCGGTTAAATGTGGAGCAGTCGGTGTGGATTCTCCAAGATTTTCAAAAGGAGACTAGATAGCTACATAATGAAGATGCTTAAGTGGATTCTACACTGAGTGGTGGATTGGACTATATGACCTATAATTCCCTTTCAATAGGTGGTCCCATAATTCTATGTAAAGACTTATGGATTAGGCCTTCCTACATCTCCCTTTGTTAATATCCTTAAGGCAAACAGTTCAGGAGAGCCAGTTTGGTGTAGTGGTTAAGATGCTGGCCTAGAAACCAAGAGGGTGAGTTCTAGGCTCGCCTTAGGTGTGGAAGCCGGCTGGGTGACTGGGCCAGTCACTCTCTCAGCCCAGCCCGCCTCAGGGTTGCAGAGAAAATAGGCAGGAGTATTGGGTATGTTTGCTGCCTTAAGTTGGCCTACACATGGGCGGGGAGTGGGGATAGATGCACATCTCTCACTCGGGATAAAAATCTTTTTTTTTAAATTTGTTTTAATTTGTTGTTGAGCAAACCACAGGTTTTTTTTAGTTCTGTACACCACCCAGAGTTCACTGGAGTTGGACGGCCAAAACGTTTTAATAATAATTATAGTTTACGGGGTTCCCTTGTCATTCTGTTATCTTTATCCAAGATGTTCAGACTTAAGATGCTCCAGTTATTATTTACTTATAGTTTATAGTTACTAAATAGGAAGCAAACACTCTTAACTGTGCTCTTCAGTGGCTCACCAATGATAGCTAAGGTACCTTTTGTCATTCAAGAACATTGGATTCTTGATTTGCATCTCCAATCCTTGCTTATGTAGAGATTAAGGGGACTAGCAGAAATAGTACAGTGATTGTGATTTGCAATAATAGAAAAGGTCCCAATGAATCCATGTTGAATGTTTGATAAGAAACAGTAGGCAGGATGTCCACGTAGGGCTACATGGAGTACATGATCAAATAAACATCAAGACAATACCAGCTACAAATTCCCTAGTATGAGTGATATGCTTAGACAAGCAGAAGTGACCCTATGAGTGTTACAACGTCTATGAGATCTTATGTGTAATGTCAGAATGAACATCTGTTGAGGCTTCACATCACAAGCCAGGAGCACGATAAATTGCTTCCTATTTTATTAGGACCTACTCTACACATATACACTCATAATCGTGCCTGTAGGTACCAAAAGGAGGTGAGAAAGACTCCTTTTTCTACTGGCCAAATACAATATATAAAATAATGTTGGGAAGTTCCCAACTCAGTTTTCCAGCACCAGGCTCCCATCTTTTATAGTCTCTGGATCATGATATTGCAGCCAGTTCTCACAAAAACTTATTTTTCACATTTTTTCTTCTGGCCTTACACATGTCCTTTAGTTCAAAGTTACTTGAACATCCTTGTTTGTCAGCACTGGTCGTTATGACTCCTGTAGTTTGTTTTCATTTATCAGCTCTATGTGGTGCCAGTTGACGGTTTTGTCTGTATTCAGATTTCTTGTCCTTCCCATTGCCCTGTTTCTGGTCAGCTAGTATAATCCAAGGCCCATTAGAGAAGGATTTATGGAGAATATAACGTAAAGAATAAAGCAACTGTATGTATGCAAAGAATAAAGATATAATGAATATAAGCATACATTTCATAACATGAGAATAAAAATGCATCATGCATCACTCATTTTAATGATAATTAGGCCATTCTGCAAAGGGGAAGTAGTGCATATAGTGAGCTGTAGGAACTGTAGCAAAGCTGCTTTGAATAAACATGCGACCGCATTACCTTGGCAAAGAGTGTGACATGGCAGGGGTAGGAAGCCTTAACTCTGTGCAATGGAGCTCTTGCCAGTCTCGGATTTGTCGGAATTGTGGTTTAGCAAGATCTGGGAGCTCAGAGACTCCCTCTTCCTGCTGAACTGAGTGGAATGCCCAGGGTCCTGGTGGCTTACCCAGTTCCAAGAAACTTGGTGCTTTGTTCAGCAGAAGCCTTATCGTAATGAAGGTTTTTATTGGGAAAAAAAATTCCAAGCAGTACATTCTGGAAATTATTTAATACTGAGTATAATTTTCAATCTACTTATTCAGCATCAAGTTATGATAAATAGTTCCACGCATTCACAAGATGGCAGTACTGCTCCACAGAAACTTTAGTTTTGAAAGTCTTTAGCTAACCTGTTTATTCCAAGGATCAGAGGAAAGGGGACTGAAGCAGTTGACATCACAAAATTGATTTCTGTGGAGTATTTCGATCAATTGCAAAGGATCTATATCAGATGTTCATACCAAAGGAAACACCATATTATTCAGCTTATCTACGCTTTATTTTCTTTGCCAAGATACTTTTGAATGACAGCATCCATACATATAATGTACTGTGGTTGTTTCCAGTTCCCATTAATCTGACTTACTTTTTCATAGAATGTAAGAGTTGAAAGTGATATTAGAGAGGGTCTAGTCCACACCCTGGCCCAGAGAATAAGTCCACTGCCACAGTGCTCCTGACAATGTCCATCCAGTTTCTGTCTAAATTCCTCCAGTTAAGGAGAATCTACTGCTTCCAAAGATAGTCTATTCTACTGTTGAACAGCTTTTACTGCTAGGCATTTGTCTTGAAGTCCAACCAAAATCTGTTCTTTTGTCATTAAAAAAAATGGTTTCTTGTCTTCTGGAACAATGCTGAACAATTCTGCCTTGACTTCTATGATAGCCTTTCAGGTACTTACAGCTGTACAGTTGTTCACTGTAAGTTTTTCCTTCCCAGCTCTTTATTATCTTGGCAATTCTCTTAGGGACACACTTCAGTTTTTGAGTGTCTTTTCTAAAATGTCCCCTGAACAATATTCTACAGGTTGTCTGACTAACCCAGAATTGAGAGGACTAATGACCACTTGATCTGACATACTTATTAATATAGAAGTTTGTTTGTTTGCTTGTTTTTAAAAATGGCATTAGATGCTTGGTTCATGGTTAGCCTGCGATCCACCAAAAATCCTTAGATCCTTTTTGCATTTCCTTCTACCCGGTATGGTTTTTCCCCATCCCTTATTTCATGCCTTTGATTTTTCCTACCCAAATGAAAGACTTTGCATTTGACCCTGATGAAATTCATCTGGCTGATTTCTGCCCGTCATTTCACCTTGTCAACGTCCTCCTGAATCTTGATACTGTTATGTGTTTGTTATCTCCACATATTTGTGTAATCTACACATTCGATAAACATATGTTAACTGACTGCTTAATAACCTCTTCTAGAGTTTGCTGGTATCATTGTCTAACTACCCATCTGTTGTTAGCTATTTCCTCTCCCCCACTCTTTTTTGAAGATAGGGAACAACATTTACCTTTTTGCAAACCTCTAGCATCATACTCAACCATGATTTTTCAGAAAGGGGCTCAGAGGTGACAGTCACAAACTACCTCAGGAGTCTTAGCTGCAACTGGTCTGGAGATTCAAACTTGTTTATGGTTGGCAGATGCTGCCTATCTATTTATGTACCTTGGATTGTCATTCCCTCTTTAGAGTCAATTATTCTGTTTTGAATATGGTTACCAAACCACAGGAGAGGAGGTCTGTGCAGTCCCCATCACTGTTACCATCTTCTTACTGCAGTGGGGACTCAGTTTTCTTTTACGACTTGATGAAGAATGTGTCTGTTCCTTAGAATCTTAAATTTTTCATAAATGTGTTTGCGATTGATACCCCAAGATTTTTTAGTAAAGATAAAAGACCACCCAAACATACTCTATAAAAGGAAAAGACAACTAATTCATTTAATCTTATTCAGAATGTTTTATATTCTGCTTATTACATTTGTGAAGGACACAAATTTGGGAGATCTAGGCCAGACTGAGATTACAATTAATCTGGACAGTTTGGAAGATTTGGTTGAGAAAAACAACATGTCTTTCAACAAGGAGAAATGCAAGATATTACTTTTATATTTACATTACATTATGTTTGCAAGAAGGGGGATTCGTGGCTTGGAAACACTACATCGGAGAAGAATGGGTGTGGAAATCGAAAACAAACCACAAAGTTGAGAACATGAGCCAACAGTGTGAAATAGCTGCTTCAAGGGCTAACACAGTTCTGGGCTGCATTAAAGGAAGCATTGCATCAAAGAAGCATGAAGTTCCTTTCTCCCCTGTACTCTGCACTAGTGAGACCAC